AAATAGTGATACACCTCATGGCATATATCTATTTATAAGCTGATCGTACATATGTATGATTGAAGCTAATATGGATCTGCTTCTCTATTGCTAATTACTAGGGCTCGGAATCTCTTGCAAATGCATGTTCAAATGGAAATGGTTAAGTTATCTTTACGAATCATGAAATTTCCTTTAAAATGCCACTCAATCGTTAGTGCATGTTTTTGAATATTTTGCAGTAAATGCGTGGTTTTGCATACTTTGCAAAAAAGCTGTTTTTGCATTCTAATTGCGCATATTTTAGTATATTTACAACCATTTAAATTTAGTGCGAAATCTCTTGACAAAGAAATTACCTATAATTTTTTCCCAAATATTCATCTGAATATCTTCTCGGATGGCCAAGCGGGTATTAAGGCACTCTCTTCCACCTCCGTTAGATCTCAACTATCAGAGGACTGTAGGAGTGAGCGGGCCTTTATCTTTGATCACCCTAATATGGGTCCTGGGAAAAAGACTCTTTTGTGGAAACAAGGCAACAGAGGAACTAGCAATTCCAAGCAGAAATGAAACCGTACAGGATCGTACAGGATTACCCGGCAGTTCTGGGTGTCCTACGACCCACTTAAAACCAAAGCTCTCTTAGGAATGAGCAAAGAAGATCCCTAAAAAGTTACTGCACAAGATACTGGCCCGTTCTGGTACATACCGAAAGGATTAGATTTCCCTTCAACAGGTTCTGTCGCAGTTGCGATGACCCAAGCTCAAAAAAGACAGTTGAACACTTCCTGTGCGAGTGTCCAGCCCTGGTGGCATGTAACAAGATCAATGGAAATAAGGTCAATTGACTTTATTTCGCTCCAGGGTGGTGCCTTATCAAAAGCGAAATAAAGTCAGCAAAAATTTGGAAATAAAGTCATTGACGCTATTTCCTCATTCAAATGGAAATAGCGTCAACAATGCCTTAAAGTATGTCGATTCATAGAAAAAAAATGTTTTTCTTACAATAAACATTGCCCCGTACGTGTTGTTTTTTAATACATGAAAAAGGTTATTGCCAAATCCTCAGTGTGGTATCAATCCACACACAATCATGAACTACCACCAATTGATTTTATTAAAAAATTTAAAATTACGAATATAGTAAAAACACGATGCGAAAAACCAAACGCAAAACGCAGCTGGAATACGAGCAATATTTGAAGAAATAGTGTAGAAATGATCCAGAACTTGCAAAAAATGTTTCGTTTCCACAAAAATAAGGCGAACACTATTAAATTGAAGAAACAAATTAATTTAAAATAAATAGCATATTTGTAATGAATTCGGAATGTTTCTTACACTGTATTCATGTCTCCGCCAGCAATTTGTGACGACATCATTTAAAAGCAACTAAGGAGAACGACGACACTATTTATTAGATGGCAAATTCAAGCCAATGTGGCAAAATGCGGGTATAAGCAATTATTGATTATTTAATATCGGAGATCATGTAAGTTAATTGATTGGTTTTTACACACTTTTGAAACACAAATTATATACTTTTTTACTGCAGACAAGTTATTGACAAAACACAGCAGAAATCTTCCAATGACTTACAAATATAAAAATGTAGCGTAGCGTGACGTGGTGTGGTGCGCCGGTCGCGCGGGGCGCTAGCAAAGCTAAGCAAATTTAATGTTTGAAAGAGCAATAATGTGAATGGATTTTATTTCGCTTTTGAAAAGGTAAGGTTCGCACGCTGGAGCGAAATCAAGTCAACTGACCTTATTTCCGTTGATCTTATTACCTGTCACCGATTTTTATATCAGAATCTCATCTTTGTGAAAAGTGTGCAGATGGAGGGTATTATTGAATATAAGCCCTCGATACGTAAAATATATGTGAATATATAAATATTTCATTTCAACAAATACAAAATATAAATCTACTTGCGTTACAACACGGTGGGAGAGGGGGAAGGGGGGAAGGAACGCGGTGTAGCGTGACGTGTTGGGCCAGTGTTACCGCTGAAAAATTTTCGAAAGTCGCAAAAAAAGTGTCACAGCCGTAGAAAAGTGTGTTCAAGTCATTTAAATCGTTTATACCATTTATGTAAAGACTTTCATTATTTTATCTTTCGAAACTTATTAGCGCATACTCATAATCGAAATAAAATCGACTCTAACGTTAGTTTTAGCGTTTTCTACGGAAAATCTGCCAAAAAAACTGTTTAGAGTAGACTTTATTTCATCTATGACTTTGGGGCTTAATAAATTGTTAATGGAGAGCATTTTCTATAAAAAATTGTTTTTTCTCTTAAAATAATAACCTATTGATGAGGCGTATGTATATTACAAAAAAAAAAAAAATATGCATATTTTGCATTAGGATTTTTTTGGAAAAGTTTCAAAATGAGCCTATTTTTAAAAAGTCGGTGTCAGGGGCATCGATCTCCAAAAAGTGTCAATTTGACACTTTAGTCGCACAACGGTAACACTGGTCGTGGCGCGCCGGTTTTGCGACTCGCGCGGTGTGGCGCGCGGACGTGNACTTTTTTACTGCAGACAAGTTATTGACAAAACACAGCAGAAATCTTCCAATGACTTACAAATATAAAAATGTAGCGTAGCGTGACGTGGTGTGGTGCGCCGGTCGCGCGGGGCGCTAGCAAAGCTAAGCAAATTTAATGTTTGAAAGAGCAATAATGTGAATGGATTTTATTTCGCTTTTGAAAAGGTAAGGTTCGCACGCTGGAGCGAAATCAAGTCAACTGACCTTATTTCCGTTGATCTTATTACCTGTCACCGATTTTTATATCAGAATCTCATCTTTGTGAAAAGTGTGCAGATGGAGGGTATTATTGAATATAAGCCCTCGATACGTAAAATATATGTGAATATATAAATATTTCATTTCAACAAATACAAAATATAAATCTACTTGCGTTACAACACGGTGGGAGAGGGGGAAGGGGGGAAGGAACGCGGTGTAGCGTGACGTGTTGGGCCAGTGTTACCGCTGAAAAATTTTCGAAAGTCGCAAAAAAAGTGTCACAGCCGTAGAAAAGTGTGTTCAAGTCATTTAAATCGTTTATACCATTTATGTAAAGACTTTCATTATTTTATCTTTCGAAACTTATTAGCGCATACTCATAATCGAAATAAAATCGACTCTAACGTTAGTTTTAGCGTTTTCTACGGAAAATCTGCCAAAAAAACTGTTTAGAGTAGACTTTATTTCATCTATGACTTTGGGGCTTAATAAATTGTTAATGGAGAGCATTTTCTATAAAAAATTGTTTTTTCTCTTAAAATAATAACCTATTGATGNCTGTTTAGAGTAGACTTTATTTCATCTATGACTTTGGGGCTTAATAAATTGTTAATGGAGATCATTTTCTATAAAAAATTGTTTTTTCTCTTAAAATAATAACCTATTGATGAGGCGTATGTATATTACAAAAAAAAAAAAAATATGCATATTTTGCATTAGGATTTTTTTGGAAAAGTTTCAAAATGAGCCTATTTTTAAAAAGTCGGTGTCAGGGGCATCGATCTCCAAAAAGTGTCAATTTGACACTTTAGTCGCACAACGGTAACACTGGTCGTGGCGCGCCGGTTTTGCGACTCGCGCGGTGTGGCGCGCGGACGTGGGCCGCCGCGAAGCTAAGAAAATTTAATGTTTGAAAGAGCAATAATGTCAATGGATTTTATTTCGCTTTTGAAAAGGTAATAATGTCAATTGATTTTATTTCACAACAAGGTGGGAAATAAGGTCAATTCACCTTATTTCCGTTGATCTTATTACCTGTCACCTCCAGCCCTCGCAAGGATGAGGCTTAAGACAATCGGCAAGCCATTCCTGCAGAATGTTTTAGAGTGCAGCTGCTTATCTCTGTATGACGTACTGAAATTCATTAAAGCCGCCAAATAGCTGTACGTTATACGAGCTCTGGAATCAAAATAGCAAACTTGCTAATTGATTGTCACCACTTAAACCAACAAAACCTTCATCTGAACCACTATTAAACTGTCATTGTTTCTATTCACTCAAAATTGTAACTGTCTGCTAGATTAAAAACTAATTTTATACATAAATATTTCGAAGTGAATGGTTTTCGATATTTTCTTGTTAAAATACATGTGTTATTTAGTATTTTTGCACTGGCAGTAACATATTAGGAAAATATGTTTTAATTGCATATTTTACTTACTGTACATGAGATTCCGAGTCCTACTAATTATTAATATTTTGCAATTCATAGTGATTTATTAAATGCAATTCAATACAATCCAAACGAATATTTCATGTGCCGTTTTTAACTTGAATGTTATCTTAATAATATCAGCGCCTGTGGCCCTGACATAGCCCGCAGGTCAAAACGAGGGCGCTGGACTGATCCTGGAAGGTGTTGTAATTTTCTCCAATCAAGAAATTTTTGGAATTTATTTGGATGGAAGAAAATGCGCGAACAAAAAATTGCCAAAAAATCAGCGGTAAGTCCAAGGTACTTCACACTTGCACTTTATTATACCAAAATTGAATGGGCTGCAAAACTACAACTGCATTGTTTTGAACAATCCTAGAAAATCTACTAATGTTCTACAAAACTTGAATATTTGATTTTGGTACATGTTTTTTTTTTTAACTAGTAAGTTATACCTTATCATAAAAAATAATAAACGTTTTTTAACAAACGAAGGTAGCCAAAACTCGTCAAAATGTATTTTCCATATAATTTTTCAAGTTTTATTCTCTTTGTTTTGTTTTAAATAAAGCTGTATTAAAAAACGTTGTGTCTTTTTATTCTAAACACCAAATTGTATGTTCGGATTCGATGCTTTATAAGTTCCGCTTTTTGGCCTCACAAACCTGGTCACCGTATGTATTGTACTTATGTATATGCATTTATGTGTGTACATATACTGCAAATACATATGTAAATATACGTAGCAATATTTTTTTTTAAACAATGATCAAGCAAATTTTAGTATTTAGCCACATTTATAATAATTACCATTGTTGGTGACACTTACCCACACGTACAAATTTCACAAATGCACATTTCCGTATGTTTTGAACCAAATGATTCCTTTCTATCGACTCCACGCTGTTACAATATACAAATACATTAGTGTAACTTAACTTTTCATTCATTAAATTGACAGCTTACGATTTTTGAGTCATTTGAAGTCAGCCTTTCTTTCCTAACCTCATCAACTTCATCGTATACATTTGTGGTAATGTCCTTCCTCTTTGATGTGTTAGTACTTTTATTGGTAACATTTTCACTGTCTTCCGTTATTTCTACATTCTTTTCGATTTCTACATACTCGTCTACATAAATTGTCTTTTTGGGCGTTTCAACGATTCTCTCAATAACATCGGTATGCGTTTTCTCATCTAGTACCCGCCAGTCGTTCAGGCTAGCGTCAAATATCTGTAAAATTTCAAAGTGAAAATATATTTGTATGACTTCCATATGTGTGTTTGTGTGGATGATGATATGAATATGTAATTACATAAATACGGTATTATCGTATTTGGATTTATATTAATCCTAGAACGAATGTATAGCCCTGAAACATTATTGCACGATTAAGTAGTTATGCATACGGGGCAAACAATAATGTAGGCAATTTTTTCCACAAAAGCTAGATTTTAAAACCTCTCTCAATGATCCCAGATTTATTAGCCCTGAAACAGCATCTTTATTTGATTTATCGAATATTTGTAAAAACAGCACATAAATATTCATTTCTAACATCACACATTTGTAGAATATTTTTCCATAGCTAGTAGTCAGCACGAGTGGTATTCAACGGATTATTTTGCGGCCAAGCGCAATGCAGTGAATAGCATCCGGAACGAGCTGAATTGCAAAGCGAACCTTTGAAGGATTCCACTTCCCTTCCATCCTTGCGACCTTCTTTACTTTCCCAACATTCTCATGGTAGCCTTCTTATTTAGTAGGAGTTTCTTCATGAAGATACAATCAGCAAAATATTTTTTCCGTAGTTTCGTATATGAACAATAATTATTAACGTATCTCGTATAAAATAAATTACCAGGACAATTGACAATAAAATTGTAGTTTAAAAAACTAAAACCTCCCTATTATTATTGCCATGCGTACTGTCATCAGGTATGAGAATAGAAATCGCTGCATCTTTTAGGCGCATCAATATTACATAGTTACATCCCGAGCTAATAAAAGGAAGGTAATAATAAAAAAGAGGACTGCTCCGTATAATACCGGCTAGCCCCGCTTTTCAGGCAAACTAGTGTTGCCTAGGCTATACTCGCTTAAATTGGGTATTTTTCTGATTTTGTGTACTATACTTCTGTTTTTTTAAATTTTAGTTATATTGTTTACAGATAAACATGTACTATGTATGTATGTATTCGTGTGTTGTGACCGCTCCGCATGCTTGGTGTACATACCCTGCAGGGTACCCCGGACTAGTAAATCAAATTTTTAGTTCCAAAAACAAACCAGTCCGATAATAACTAAATCCCCACCAGTCCAAAATCAGCGAAATGTGGTACTTTTAAAAAACTATTTTATTTCACTTTTTCCATTAGAAATCTATATTTAAGGGGACGAATTTAGAATTGGTTCGAAACTATAGAAAAATGGATGTAGCACGAACTAGATCTTATCTGTCAAATTTAGAACTTCTAGTTCGGAACTATCGAAAAAGGGATGCAGCGGGGGCTTGTTTACTTTACATAGATATGTTTTTGGCGGCGTTTTCGTTCAAATATGCTTCCATTCTGCACTTCGCTGATCCTTTTTCATATTCACATCTTGAGACCTTCTGCAATATAACCAATAACAGCAAACGCCTTTGCAAACTCAGCTACATCCAAAGGTATGTAAACGAACATTTCTTACAATCATTCAAACAAATTTAATTTCAAATTGGAAACACATTTCTTCGAAAGTAATTTAAAATCGCACACACGAAATAGCCAAACAGATTGAAAAACTCACGATACTCTTTTCTTTCGTCTGTCGATTTTAGAATTGGGTCGGACCTAAAGAATTTAGGAATATTTCGGAACTGTCGAAAAAGGGATGCAAAGGGGGGCAATTGACACTTCCTAGGACATCGCCATGTTAAATTCGCCAGTNAAAAGTAATTTAAAATCGCACACACGAAATAGCCAAAAAGATTGAAAAATCACGATACTCTTTTCTTTCGTCTGTCGATTTTAGAATTGTGTCGGACCTAAAGAATTTAGGAATATTTCGGAACTGTCGAAAAAGGGATGCAACGGGGGGCAATTGACACTTCCTAGGACATCGCCAAGTTAAATTCGCCAGTTGTTTGCATTCAAAAGAGATTTATCGCGAACCAGTACTGGGTCTAAATGTACTAGAAGCCCGGCTAGCCGGATATTACCCGATTTGACCGGTACCCGGGTAATATACATATGTTGNAGGTAATATACATATGTTGATGCCGTTTAAACGAAAAACACCCGGGTAACGCGACCTAAAGCTTCTTGTATAATCTTTTTGGTGAGGATAAATATTTTCTCAGTGAGAAAAATTTTTTTAATATATTTTTTTTTTGTCCAGAATGTACGCGACTATGTAAACCAATCCGCNCAAATTTTTTTAATATATATTTTTTTTTTGTCCAGAATGTACGCGACTATGTAAACCAATCCGCTAGCCTGAGTAGACGCAGACAAGAGAGGTAAATTAAAACATTAATTTCTGTACTTAAATTCAACCTTCTAATTTTAGTAAATGCATATACATACATGCATGTGTACATATGTATGTATGAATGTATATTTTAACGAGTATTAAATATGAATATTTTAAAACAGGGACCGAGAATAAAATGTATGATCGAAACTAAATGTCGTTCTCGTAGTTTTGTTCCCAAGNGTATGAATGTATATTTTAAAGAGTATTAAATATGAATATTTTAAAACAGGGACCGAGAACAAAATGTATGATCGAAACTAAATGNTATTTTAACGAGTATTAAATATGAATATTTTAAAACAGGGACCGAGAATAAAATGTATGATCGAAACTAAATGTCGTTCTCGTAGTTTTGTTCCCAAGAACGCGTCAAAACCAAAGCCAAAATCAGAACAAAACTGAGCTGAACGTTCTCATTGAGAATTATATAAGAACAAAACCCTGTGGAACGTTTCCAGAGAGAACCAAATGGGAACAACACTTTCGGAGACATTTCTAAGAGAACAAAATGCTAACAAATTTCTCCTGAACGTTTTGGTAAAGTAAAAAACGAGAAAAGAATTCTAAGCAACTTTCTCTCGAAGACCAATTTGGGAGCTAAAGTCCCAGGTACTTTCTTACAGAGAACGAAAAAGGAACTAATCTTCTCTGAACTGTCTCATAGCGTTCCATGACTTTCACATGTTTGAATATTAAAGTTAATCAAAAAAGAACTGAATAGCTATGCAGATAAAGTTAACGAAAGGCTTAAGACACGAACTTTTATTTCACAGAAAATGACAAATTGTTCCATAAATGGACAGTTCACTATAATGATAAACGACCTGGAAGTTGAAATGATCCAGCTTTCCTCTGGCTTAGAATTATCTGAGAATCACTGAAAAAACTTTTCNGAACTTTCTCTCGAAGACCAATTTGGGAGCTAAAGTCCCAGGTACTTTCTTACAGAGAACGAAAAAGGAACTAATCTTCTCTGAACTATCTCATAGCGTTCCATGACTTTCACATGTTTGAATATTAAAGTTAATCAAAAAAGAACTGAATAGCTATGCAGATAAAGTTAACGAAAGACTTAAGACACGAACTTTTATTTCACAGAAAATGACAAATTGTTCCATAAATGGACAGTTCACTATAATGATAAACGACCTGGAAGTTGAAATGATTCAGCTTTCCTCTGGCTTAGAATTATCTGAGAATCACTGAAAAAACTTTTCCACCGAACACGCAGACGCTCATTTTTAACGTTAAGTTTTCAAAACTTTTGTTCTCGCCTTGTTATCTAGCAGGACGTTCCCCAGACTTTTGTTCTTTTTTCTTTTGTGTTTTATTTTTCGCTTTGAGTATTTCGGCTCACCCTTGTGTTGATATTTGTCAAGAAATTACCCTACAAGACGCGAATGACTAAAACTCCAACACATTCACAAACAAAACTAACACATATGCAAAAATGTATATGCCAGTCGAGTCGGGTAGAACAGTGGCAATCATTTTACCTGTCATATGATTGACAATGCTGATAGAATAAGAATTTTTTCAGTGACTAACATTTGACCGGTCATATGATTGTCACTGATGATGCAAAGGTTCACAAGAAAAACAAATATGTTCATTATTATAAATCACAATTAAAAAATATTAGAAGCGAAAGGACGCGGTCGAAAGTGCGAAGAAATCAAGGATAAGTATTTTAAATGAAATTGAAAGTTTTTGAAATTAAACAAAAAATGTTAGTAATGCTATGAGTAGAAAAAAGCTCATGTTTGTTTAATATGACGTCAAAATTGTGATCAGTCATATTTGACCAACTTTTATAGCAAGTATGATTTGTCAATACTGACCTAAGATCCCATCAAGCATGATTATTCATTTGTGACCAACGTTTATATNGAAATCAAGGATAAGTATTTTAAATGAAATTGAAAGTTTTTGAAATTAAACAAAAAATGTTAGTAATGCTATGAGCAGAAAAAAGCTCATGTTTGTTTAATATGACGTCAAAACCCATCAATTGTGATCGGTCATATTTGACCAACTTTTATAGCAAGTATGATTTGTCAACACTGACCTAAGATCCCATCAAGCATGATTATTCATTTGTGACCAACGTTTATATCATTGATGATTCACATGTATACGATTTTTTCCATCAAATTTTGCACATTGCCCTTAATATTTTGATTGAAACTTTCATACAAANGGAAACTTTCATACAAAGTATTCTGCGCTATATTATAATGCGTATATATTATAATGACGAGTATTTCTATCAGGATTGTCCGTCATTTTACCGGTCATATGATTGTCACTGTTCTTGCAGGGTACTTATTATCAATAATAGTACATACATACATGGCGTATGAGTAACATTCTTACCCTGTCATCTATATCTATCTATATGTACGAATATATATTTTGAAAGCCGGTTTTTTTCTGTTCGCAAAGCTCGAGATCGGCTGTAC